ATATATATATATAGCTGTAGTGAGTTCCTAAATCAAAATTGATCAGAATCAGAACAGCCACTTTTTATGTGTTTGCAAACACTTTAAGACTCAATATTTAACATTCAGTACGCCAAATTGTTCTTTGGCAATGATTTGGCATTATTTCTGAGCTCCTACAACACTGTGACTACCACTGAACTGTGTATTGCAGATAGCGGCAATTCTACGGAGGAAGAAGAAGGATTATTATTTAAAAAAGCTTCTCCCGGAGATCCTGACGTCAACATCTTTCCTGACCGCCAATGGAGGCCTCTACATTGTTTTCTTCTGCATTCTCAGGTAAGTAGATGTAGCGCTTGATTAAGACACGCCAATTACAAGTTAAAATGAAAACTGAACTGTTGCAAGACTGKCAATCATTTGATTCATCTGAGTAGTTGACGTTGGATTTATAGTTTTTATTCTCGCTTTAGGAAACTGTTCGGAGGGTTCTACTCCTGGTCCTCTGGGTTTGGTGCAGCCCTGCCTGCCTCCTACATTGCCATCCTTCTGGAACGCAAGAGCAGGTGAGTTTTATTTATTTATTTTCTCCCCCAATGACATGAAACGATTAGCAAGCATATTTCACGATTGCTTAAATCTGACTGGTAAAACACACGCAAAAAAGTACCAGTTGTTTTTAAACCATACTTGTTGGATGCATTTTATTACTGCAAAGTAGTAGRAGCTGAGGTAATTCTAATGAATACTTCAAGTGCTATACATCGCCTGTTAGCAAAATATTTTATGAGCAAATGGACAGATTTTTGTGAAACTCAGCAAGTAATCATTGGTTTGGAGCTTATTTTTACAACTGATAATCTTTTGGAAGTCACTCATCTAAGAGTTAAGAACTTTATTCAGGGGATGCAAAGTTTAAAATTTCATAATGTATTTCCTTGTATATTATTCATTTAATAAAGGTAAATATATATATGTATTTTTCTCTTTTATCCCCATCAGGAGAGGTCTGCTAACAATATACATGGCCAATCTTGTAAGAGTCGTTAAAAATTTAAGAAATATTTTTACATGTGTTACATAACGTCTGATATTTTTTGTACAGTTTTACATAATAAAATCCTGTTGTTTTCAGGCCAGTGAGACGTTGTTRCGCATGGCAGTGACACGAGGTCTGGTCAAACCCATCAAACATGGCGAGGTAAAAAAKKAAACAAAACAAAAAACGTWTGAGTAATTAAGTCTGCCATTAAAATGTCTGAATTTATGGCAACAAACGTAACACAGTCAGCAAATTATTTTACGGCCACTGCAAATGGAGCTAAGTTTTGGTTTACAATATAAAAAAATGATTAAATTCAAATCAATAAATAACATCTTGTCACATGTATGACAGTAGACAGTTTTTTTAAATCTGATTTTGTTTCTCACTTTGCTTCCTATCAGGTACTTTTGTTCTGCATAACTGCATCCATCTTCATGTTCCTCTTCAGGTCAGAGCTATAACACAGACATTGTTGCACTGAAATCATATGTCCTCTTCCCTCGCTGTCTTCAAGTCTCGCTTAAAAACACACTACTACTCCCTTGCCTTTGAGTCTGAGTGAGATGGTGCAAAAAAACCTCACCGTGTATCATAACTCTGTTCTATGTGTACTGTAAATATAAATGCTCCATATTTTTATCTGTATTTTGACTGTCCTGTTGTGTCTGTCTACTGTACAGCACTTTGGTTGGCCTTGTGCTGTTTAAAGTGCTTTATAAATAAAACTGGTTTGGCATATATAGCCTAAGAGTATAAAAATAGTAATGCAATCTTTTTTTTAGTTAAAGATCTATTTATTGTATTGCAGGAGTAAAGATGGTCTCAAAGGTTTTGCGTTTTCTGCATTAAAGTAAGTTGAAGTATTCCCGTTTCTGCTGCAATTTCAATTTGCCAGTAGTGTTTGTTTGAATGGGTGCGTTTCCTGTCGCAGATTCATCATTGGGAAAGAAGAGATCCCAGCTCATTCCAACGTTGCAGAAACTCACGGCCCAAGTCTCCCCGAGAGGACGGCTGCCATAGAGAGCGAACGGCTGCAGGCAGCAGCAGAACGACTCAGCCTCAGGAGGAGAACTCTGATAGCCTACACCAGGGATCTGCTGCAGTCGTTGTGAGTGAAAACACACCTTGACGTACACAAACATAGGTTGATGGAGAGAGGCGCACAGACTTAACTTACACTGTTTGTTTGTCTTTAATTATTCAGATGCAAACGGGGTCCAAGACACAGATGTTGTAAACATTACCAGGACAACTGCATTACATACTGCGTTAAAGTAAACATTTTCCTCTTGATTTTTTATTTCCTTCATTTGACAGTTATGTGCAGCCAAGTTTTCAAAATAAATAAAAACAATGGCTTTACAGAAAATAGTAATGCTCATTAGATTTAAGGGATCTGGAAGAATACAAAGGGCCAGACATGTAAAAGAGCTTTATAGGTCAACAATAAAAGTTATAAATCAATTATAAAACAGGAGGCATGTTCATACTTTTTTCTTTGTTAAACAATGAGCCGCTGAACTAACCGCGGATGGGAGAGGCCGGCCGGGCTAACACCAGCACAGAGAGTTGCAACAATCCAGCTGGGATGTATTAAAATTGTGAATTGACTGTTCAAAATGATTGACAGATAAAACGGTTTCACTTTAGATTAAAGCCTGAATTAAAAAAAAAAAGTTCTGATGAAATTTGTCATTGTTTTCCTTCCAGGGCTTCGTCAGGATGTTCAGTATTGGCTATCTTATCCAGTGTTGTCTTAAAGTGCCCTCAGCATTCAGGCAGATGTTCTCCAAACCCTCATGCCTGCCCTCTGTCTTCTACAACAAAGAGAACTTCCAACTCGGAGCCTTTCTTGGCTCTTTTGTCAGTATTTATAAGGTTTGTGTTTTTATTTRCTTATTTTTGATGGCATTGTTTGGGATTTATGCTAAAAGTCTCCCTTCTCAAACACTGATTTGACCTTCAGTCTTTACTTGAAACATTTGAATGTGTTTCTTCCTCTCTTAGGGAACAAGCTGCTTGTTGCGCTGGTTGCGTAACATCGATGATGAGCTCCATGCACTGATAGCRGGTAAGAATAAGTAAATATAATCCCTGATGAGGAATCAACCGACAGATTTTTATGATCTGACACAGCTTTCTCCCTGTTTTTCTCTTTTTAAGGCTTCCTGGCCGGTATCTCAATGTTTTTCTACAAAAGCACAACTATAACCATGTATCTCTTCTCTAAGCTGGTGGAGGTAAATGTGGAATCATAGATTGCGTAATAAAAAAAGAGGGAGACATACGTAGAAAACAAACAAACAAGCAAGCATTGAAAATCATCAACCTCATTTTAATTTACTGTGCAGTTGATTTATTCCTTATGGCGACAGGCCTCATAATCATTTGTTCTTTATTGCAGCTTCATTGTTTCCTGAAAATTTAATCAAATTTGTTTCATATGTTTTTGAGTAATCTTGTGTGCAGACAGACAAACAAATCAGTGCTACTGAAACATATCCTTGTTGGTGGAGGTAACATTCTGAGCAGGTGTAATGTTAGGACTTTGGTTTGTGAAAAGGACACAGTAACTGTAGAAAAGACAAACTGTCCTTACACTGTAATTCTCAGTGAGTAGAGGGTTCAAATCACATACAAGCAGTGCTAGAACAGACTTCACATTATGTAATGGTCCTCAAAAACTAACTAAGAACCAATCCTATATTGTGACATTAGCAGCAGCAGGTGGAGAGAACTGCGTTTTACTGTTGATTTTATTTTTGTATCTTAGTAATATGTTACATGATCTCCTTTTTTAAGCTTATTTTCATTGGTCATTTCTATTGTTTCAGACCATGTACTTCAAAGGGATTGAGGCTGGCCACTTCCCTTACTTTCCTCATGCAGACACAGTTATTTATGCCATCTCGACAGCTATCTGTTTCCAAGCTGTAAGCCACTGTTTACACACAAACACACAGCCACTAACATAAAAAATGCTTCAAAGGCCTTTTTTTTAAACTAATTAAATAAATGTTTGACTCGTTACGTTTTCACAGGCAGTGATGGAAATGCAGAACCTCAGGCCTTCATACTGGAAGTTCCTGCTCCGTTTGACTAAGGGCAGGTAAGTGTACGGTCTGTAAAAAGCCTGTTTGAGTTGTATTTTTCTTAATATTATTTACAGATTATCATCTTGCTCGGTGTGTAGGTTTGCTCTGATGAACCGAGAGTTGCTCGATGTGTTTGGGACTCAGGCGTCCCTGAAGTTTAAAGTGCCCAAACCGGACCCTCTGCAGGCCACGGTGCTCGGCCACACTGTGCTTCCACCTGGAGGTGACATCACGCTTGGGTGACTTGAGCTCAAGCTCTAAAGGGGTCTAATAGGGTTACCTCAGAAGGAAACAGATAGGTTCTTTCAAAGCAACTTAAGGATTTTCCAAATGTTAATGTTAATGTTAATGCTTGCTCAGGAGAAACAGGGATGGGATTGTGCTCAGAGTAGGGATTTACATGTATTTTGGATGATGCAAAAAGTCTAAGTTCCTGTTTAAAGCAGGATATCATGAGTGTTAACTGTGAAGCTAATAAATTACACTAACTGTTGAAAACGAAACACTTTAACCCCTCATCGGATGAACATTGGTCTTAGTACACATTTCTTATAGTATGGAAACAATAAAATAAAATAAAAAACTTAAATTTTTAGATCACATTGAATTTCATGCTGTCATGAGATTGCCCATTTGAAATTATGTAAAAAAAAATGTGATGTTTTCTAGATTATAGTCAAAAGTACTCGCATTCCTGAAGAAAAGCAGTTCCTGGTTTAAAATCTACCCACATGACTAAGTCAGTCACTGCATCACATTTAATAAATCTTACAGATATAAGACACACATCTTCTGTCACCAGCTATCATTGAAATGTTTAAAATCTTTGTTTAGTAGCATTTTATAAGTTTGATTTATTCTTTGATTGCTCACATTTTTGAAGGTTAATGACCTTTTACCCATTCACAGCAAGACGTTACCATCTTAGCTCAGTTTTATTGATTTTTTTTAATTCCTAGTGAAAACTATAAATAGTATTTAACAAAAAATGCTAATTTAACTTTAAACCAGTTTTTCATATCAGATGGATTTTGGGAGAATTAATTCAACCAAGATTCTGGTTCAGTTCGTGCAGTAAGAATTTTTTTTTCATTTCTTTATTTGACTACATCTAATAAAATCACATTCCTTTTTATTTTTAATCACAATGGTATCAAAATGTTGACTTTTGTGTTTAAACATGCTATTGTTTGAGATTTTGTGTTCAAGTCAGTGATACAGCACAGACCATAAATAAAACACCAAGTCTTCTCTGAGTCAGGTGTTGGTTAATGTGTGCGTTGGATTTTTGCTGCTGGAGACATTTTAATTACAAGATGTAGAAAAAAGAATGTCCGTTGTTTTTGATTGTTGGCAATGGTAGAAAAAACAGGCTTTTTACTACAGTTTCACTTCTATTGGGATGGACACTTTTATCTATTTCCTTTCTGCAGTTTGATTGAAACTCATTTCAATTGAAGTTGACACAAAGATGTCTGAGTCTGATTCAGATGTAGACAACTTAAAAAATTATGTTCTGATAGTTGTGAATGTATTTAAATCAGTGGGTATACCTGACTGAGTTTATAACTATATAGCCTTTAATAACAATGAAATGGAGATGATTTGAGATAGTTTTTTTGAGGAGAAAGCAGAGGTGATGTGTCACTATTATAAACAAATGTTTAATTGAACTTAAATACATTTTTCTAAATGTTAAGCATTTTGCTTCCCTAAATCTGTGACTTTGAGCAAGATCAGAATTAATTTATTAATTATTGATTCACACCAAATAGTGTTTGTTTCATTAAAAAGAGAAACATTAATATATTTATTGGATTAAAAAAATGGCTGAAATCGTTGATCACCTTGAAAACACCCAGCAAATTAAGAACAGTAAATCTGTACTTGTTTACTGAAAGAAACGGTCTGGAATAATTTTGTGGATAAAACCTAAAGGTTAAAAAATATTTAAAGGATGGAACGTATCAACGTTTATGTAGTTTTGTTGTTTTATTTGGATGCCTTTAAAAAGTGTGGACTTTTTACGGAAAGTTGAAAACTTATCATTCGACAACAATATGTACAGAATATATCTGAAATTTACTAATGGCTTCCACTCCAGCAATTGGAGTTTTTTTAGTCTGTGTGCATGAACACAAGTGTTGTTCTAAAAAATCTGTTGAAATACATGAAGAAAATTGTCGTTGGCATACTAACTCAGAGCAAAGATTTTCTGATGAATTTGTTAGGTTGAAGCAATGTGAATTTAGATGAAACAGAAGCATTCTTTTGCTCTYCTGTGTTTGATAAAAGTTTTACAGTGAGGATCAACTTTAACGCCAGTGCAGTTCACAAAAGCTACATCTACACATTTTTCTGGAAGGTAATTTAATTGCAAATGTTTACAAAAACAAATTCTGCATTCACTTGAAATTCCACTTAGACAAACATGACCTATAAACCAGTAAGCAGACTGTGAAAATTACACATCAAAATACACATWTAAAGGATTAAAATGTGACTGTAATGTGCCGTTCACAATTCTAATGTAATTGGTTGATGCTTTTACTCATGTGAATATGATTTTTATTAAAATATTTTTAATCTATATGAAGGACTCTGTTGTTTTCTGTGCCATGTTTATGACATATTTTTAAAGAAAATATGTGTATTTTATGCAGTTCAGCGCTAAGATTTGACTAACTGGATGAATCTAACATGCAACACTACTTTTTCACACAGTTTAATTTCAAATACACATTTTGCATATAGAAATTACAAATTTGAGAGATTTACTCTTTCATTCCATTTCTGATTTGTCTGCCAACATTCGGTGTGTAAATTATTTTTGTTTTCTAACTTGGTGTGAAATCTGCATTTTCAAAAATATGTAGGATAGTTTTTTAGTGCAATTTACCAATGAAATAATGTTAAAATACTACACAACTTTTAAACCAGACACTCAGCAGCCAAAGTGATCTTTCCTTATCTATAAATAAATTGTTTCTGTGATTATAACGCATGTACTATCTGTGTACACAGAGATCAGCAATGATTGGGAAATTAGAGTGAGTGTGCCAACAAGTTTACATAGTCTGTTCTTTAAGGCTTTCTCGGTTTACTTTTATTAGTAACTATTATTATTTTACTGCTTTCACTTTTTTGTTTGGTTAACAAGATATTGATATTATTTTGCATTTTAATTGATACAAATTTATTTTGAAGAAATAAATGTGTAAAGGAAGTCTGCCAGTCCAAGCTTGTGTTACGTTCACAACCCAATAAAAGCTCGGGATTTTTTTATTTCTGGCTGGAAAATCAGACGGCGTGACTGTTCCCGACTTAAAATCACGTTTATTAATTTTTAACTTTTGTAATTTAGTAGAAAAAACACACAAGGAAATGCGTTCTCCACAAAAATATTTGTTCTGGAGCGTAGAAACGCATTCCAGGAAGGAGCTTGCTTTTTTTCCCCATTCTACGGTCGACATTGACATATGTATGAGTTCCGGTTCGTCACTTCCGTTTCTCAGATGAAGCTTTAGCACTGCGAGCAATGCGAAGAGAATGATTTATTTTAATAGGAACATTTTTGTTTAAACAAAACAATATAGCTATGGGCGGTAAGAACAAACAGCGAACAAAAGGAAATGTTCGGGTAAGATACTATCAATATTTGTGCCATATTAAAGTTGATGAGAGTTAGCAGAAAGCTAGTTAGCATAGGCTAGTGTAACTAGTGATCAGCTAAACGAAGWATGTGTGTGTGTGGCTTACGCTTTTTAATTGATATTGTCATATTTCCACGTTTTTCCTACCGAACCAGCCGTCCAGCAGCGGTCGAGCTGCAGAGGTTCTGACCCGGGAAGGTGGTGTCATCCCAGGTTTCGTGGGCTTCGACACTACAATTACATCTGAACTGAGTTACGTTCCAGCTGTCCACGGAGCGGAGGAAATAGACAACCTGGTGGATGCTGATTTCCGCTTGGTGCTCAGGAAGCTCTCAAAGAGGGATGTTGTCACTAGACTGAAAGTGAGCTGCAATTTCAGCTACTGTGCATTACTTTTGAAGTTTAATTCAGTAAATAAGTGTCATAAATACAAACCTGTAGATTCAAACATATTACAACATGCAATAATGTTGCACGTACATAATACTATTACAGAATACTGTAGAGAATTGGTGATCACGAGACCCATCTCTCAACTAGTGTAGTAAAATATATTTTGTTTTACAGGCTGTGCAAGATTTTGGGTCTATGTGTCAGGAACGGGATGCTGAAGAGGTGAAAGGAGTCCTGCCCTACTGGCCAAGGATTTACTGCAAAATATCTGTGGTGAGCTGTTTGAGCATCAGTGGATTTTGTTTCTAGGGACATTAATTTGCGTGTTTTGGTTTGTCTGGAGGTAGGCGGCTGTCTTCAGAAAGTAACCACTAATCTTACAATTATATCTTAAAATGAATTTTCTAATTGTGCTTATTAGGATCATGATCGGCGAATCAGAGAGGCTACGCAGCTGGCCTTTGAGCAGCTGGTGCTAAAAGTGCGTCGCAGCTTGGCCCCCTTTCTGAAGAGCTTGATGGGCCACTGGATTCTGTCCCAATGTGACCCTTATACACCTGCAGCCTCCGCTGCATCCCAGGCCTTTCAAGCTGCCTTCTCACCCACCAAACAGCCTGAGGCTCTCAGCTTTTGCAAAGATGAGATCCTTAACGTGAGTAGGGGCATTAACTTTAGTGTAAAGAGGTGGAGTTTTACATTAGAGATACATTTAATCTGTGGTGTTGGTTGCAGGTGCTTCAAGATATATTGTTAAAAGAAACAGCAGACACGCTTAGTGATCCACAGTATGTAATGAGTTTTTTTTCTTTAATATTTTATGTTTACTTATTTCACTGTGTATACACAGTAATGCCTTTTGAGAGATTTTACTGAGGCATTTGTTCCACTTGCTCTTTAGAAGTGTGACAGAGGAAGAACGAGAAGCCAAATATGTGCGCATGTTGACCAGTTCCCTGTTAGGGGTGAAGAGGCTGCTTTCCCTGCTGCTTCCAAGTGACAGAGAGGCCTTGGAGCCAGGACTGACACATCTGGTCAAGTCTGGGAAGTTCTGGAAGTACAGCAAACACAAGACACCACAGGTACATTTACAGCACAGTTATTAATTTGATTTGGGCCTGGTATCACCAAACCAATGAACAAATGTGAATCAGTGTGAAATCTACCATCTTAATATTTCCAAAAGATGCTATCACAACAATAATGCAAGCATTTTTTTGTTTTAATTAAGTTCTGAATAAATCTTTAATTGTAATTGCTAGTAGTAATTTAATCCTGATCTTAGTCACATATTTTTCCATTTACACCCTCCTGTTCTGCTTCTCAGGTAAGAGGGGCCTTTTTCGAGATGCTGTGCGCTCTGTGTGAGTTCACGCCTGCTCTGGTCCAAGCTGAAGCAGCACGACTCTGCCCCGCTGTTCTCCTCAGTATCGACGACACAGATCCRGTTGTTCTGCCCCCCGTTTGGGAAGCTGTTCTTCACATTGTGTCTACAATCCCTGTAAGTTTTAATGATGTTTGCAATGAAACAAATGCTTTCTTTAAAGGCACAGTGTGTAGGATTTTGTCAATTCTTTTAGCCGAAATTGAGATAATCACTAATGAATATAATAAAAAACA